GGGGCTGCAGATAGATCAAAAGCAGGGGAAATAAGTGACACTCTTTAATGCAGTTCTGTAAAATTTTCAATTATTTCTGTCCAATTTTATAATTTTACTAAATAATATACTTTTATTATATTATAAAAAAGCTGTTCGCTATTTAACCTAAAAACATTTTCCCTTTTTTATAAATTTAAATATATTTTTAAAACATAAGCTATAAATTTAAACCATTACGGAAGTTGACAGAAGCTAAATTAAAATTAAAACAGAGTACTACAATGATTGCTACCTGTCCATAATGAAATCAAAAATTCGCAATTTTCAAATTTCTTATCTTACGCTTGATCAATTATGAAGATTATTCTTATCCCTCCAATTATAACTACATCTACTTGTAGTGTATGAATCTACTATGTTTATTACAAAACAGCAGTTTAAAGATTTGTGTTTAACAATATATTATTATTATATGGGCTGGACCACACATCTCTTTGAAATACTAGTAAGTTTAAAAAGTGCTAGATTTATTAACACAGCCCCCCCCCCGGGGGGGGGGGGGGGTGCTGGAGCATCAGGGTCCCCTGCATCTTATCCATCTTGGTAATATGGTCGTTACGCCATTGCCTCTGTGTATAATAAAATTGCAACTATCCGTACCCCCTCACTGTGTATAATAAAATGGCAACCATCACGACCACCTCTGTGTATAATAAAATTGCAACCATCACTACTCCTCACTGTGTATAATAAAATGGCAACTATCCGTACCCCTCACTCACTGTGTATAATAAAATTGCAACCATCACTACTCCTCACTGTCTATAATAAAATTGCAACCATCCGTACCCCTCACTGTGTATAATAAAATGGCAACCAACACGACCACCTCTGTGTGAACTATAGTGTTAGCTATCCTTGCTATTCTTTTACTCAGACATAAAAAAACATTTTCATCAAACATGTAAATAGCCCACCACGGCTACAGGCTATATATTAACTGCTGTTTCGTGCAGTAAAGGCAATTAAGCAATTACATGTAACGGTAATTATTTTAGTGTAGCTTTCTAGCCCTTCGATAATTACAGACTATTCGATTTCCAGTTTAAATGTTACAACATAAAAAACAACAGGATCACTACAGATTTACATGAAAACAAAAGACGAATAGAAACATTTTTAAAGTACCAAATGAAACATAATAAAAGAAGTTTTATTTTGTTTAAAAATAAAGAGAAAAAAATCCAGCAGTTGGTAATAAAATCATTTAATTCCATTTTATTTTCCAGGAAACAAAATACAGTCAGTAGAACAACACGAAGATAATTTTCACTGGGCACAGTTTTCTATAAACTACCGCAGAAAATTTTTCAGAAGACAGTCACTATTTAGTCAAAAGTTTTAGAAGACAGTCAATATTTAGTCATAAAGTAGAAACTATTTAGTCAAAAGGCAATGACAATTTTCATAATGTAGACACTATTTAGTTAAATGACATTTTCAGACAACAGACACTATTTAGTCAAAACACAATGATAATTTTCATAAAGCAGACACTATTTAGTTGAATGACAATTTTCATAAAGCAGATTTAGTTAAATGACAACTTTCAGAAAACAGACACTATTTAGTCAAAAGGCAATGACAATTTTCATAAAGCAGACACTATTTAGTCAAAAGGCAATGACAATTTTCATAAAGCAGATTTAGTTAAATTACAACTTTCAGAAAACAGACACTATTTAGTCAAAAGACAATCACAATCTTTAAAAGGTATACAATATTATCCCGAAAACCGACCATTTTTGCAGATTAAACATGAGTTCTCAGACCAAAAAAAATTACCAGCGACATGCAATCCGAGGCAGCTAATCAACAAGATACGCGCAGTGTCCCTTCACAATCCTTATCTTCTAATACTCTAAAACGCTAACCAGTCTTTTGTTTTGACACTGGATTAACCCTGCCTTTCTTTTCTCTTCCTTATAATCTAATTTCAGCTAATTTTAAAAAAAAGCACAGAATAGCCTACCGGTGCATAGACCGACGTCAAAGAAGCACACTTTAAAGGACTTAATATAATCAAGTTCAAAGCTAGTCCGGCTCGCCCAGATACGCCCCTGGTAGATAAACACGTCAGGGGAGAGGCGGTTTCCGTATCAGTGCGGCACCGTTTTCCCGCCTTTGCTATCAAATCGATCAGCGAGTCACGTGACAAAAAAGCCTAGAACTTTTTGACGAAACGAAATTCTAAAACTATTTGAAGAGGAATACCTACAAACTATTTGACGAAGCGAAATTCTAGAACTATTTGACGAGAAATGCCTACAAAACATTTGACGAAACGAAATTCTAGAACTATTTGACGAAACGAAATTCTAGAACTATTTGACGAAGCGAAATTCTAAAACTATTTGACGAGAAATACCTACAAAATATATGAAGGAAACCGCTAAACAAATTTTTTATTGGCAAAGACCGAAACTACTTAACAAAACCCTAAAAATATTCACAGATGAATTGTGATTTGGATTTCAAGTGGTGTGGGGCATCCGCTGTGTGGTGGAACTGTGGTGTGGGGTTGTAGAGAAGCCCCCCTCCCCCCACTTTCCCCTCTAGATATCTACAACTACGCCACTAGAGCATAGGGCATATGGCATCCGCCTCTGGGTTGGGGTATATAAATGTATGTATGGGGGACGTGTTTGTGGGGTTTGTGTGGGTGGTGTGAGTGTGTGAGAGTGTAAAACAAATTAATATGTCTGAAGGTTAACAGACCCACACCACCAACCTACATGTATGAGCTTTATGTCTTCACATATTAGTGCTATTTATGGGTTCACATACTATCGCCATCATTCTTTGTAAACAGTCACACATAGTTTAATAAATAAAATTTATAAAAGGGGTTTTCAATTTTGGTATTCTAAAACCGACCCTTGCCACCCCTGATATTTTAACATTTAATAACTGTACAACCTATGTATTACGTGTATTACGAACACAAGGAACTATATTTTTCTCTTTTTCAATCAAACTGCACATGCAGTCTAACGTTGTATAATACTCAGTAGGCGTTGAGGTGTTGTAGACTTATTTCAGTCCCTCCACTGTAGTCAAAGACCCAGACTTCATACGTTTCTTTAGAATTACCTTACCGCGGTAACTATACATATGCAAATGATTGTTTATTTAAAAAGAATCATGCCAGACTATAGAACACAATTTCAAATGAACCCCCACCCACCCAAACCCCGACGCAATCGGCGCCCTTGTATAGATAACTGTAAAAGTTAGCAAAATTTGTGATAAATTTATCACAAAAGTAAGTAGATGGTAATAGTTTATATAAAACTGGTAGTTAGAATCACTGTGGGTAAAATCCCTGAAATTATATCATGTTAAGGTTATACATAAAATTGTCAGGTTATACAAAAAAATTGCCTGATTATACATAGAATTTTCAGGTTTTAAAAAGAATTGTAAAGTTATATATTTTTATAGAGAATTGTAAGGTCATGCAGATGGTTGCAGTTTATACAAAGAGTTGACAGGCTATACATTGGAATGTCAGGTTTTACAAATGGTTGCAGTTTATACAAAGGGTTGACATGTTATACAGTTATACAAAGGTTTGTCAGGTTATACACAGGGTTGTCAGGCTATACAATTACATAAAAGGTTGTAAGGTCATACAAAGTGTTGTCATGTTATACAAAGGGTTGTCAGGTTTTACAAATGGTTGCAGTTTATACAAAGGGATGTCAGGTTATATACAGGGTTGTCAGGTTATACACAGGGTTGTCAGGTTATACACAGGGTTGTCGTGTTATACATAGAGTGACGAAATGTCAACCTTGCACAGCTCGTATACAGTGGACCTCTACAGAGAACATTAGATATGTCACAGCTGCTTTCATTAACAAAACAACAAAGGATATCTTAACACAGAATTTGACTTTTAAATGTACATTATGTAAAGGGCATATATATATATATATATATATATATATATATATATATATATATATAAATATATATATATATATATATATATATATATATACATATATATATATATATTTATTTATTTGTATGTATATATATATGTGTGTGTATGTGTACTTAATTTGAACTACTGATTAGTTAAAAGTTAATTTTAGTTAATTGTACATTTTTCTCAGTTGGACATATTTGCTAATCTATTTCTTAACGGTAAATATTTGATAACGGTAATATTTGTTAACTACACAGTAGATGTACACATAGTGCAACATTTGTTATCTGCTCATAACGGTTAACTATAATAAACAATTTTATACATTTTAACCAGATAACATATAATAAACGTAGATGTACAGTCTATAGCCAACACAATTAGTATTTAGGCTATATTCTCAAACTATTTCCAGAAGAATTTAATTAAATTATTTTACGGTCGAAATAAAGTATTTTATTGCTAGAAAACAGAATAACTTTAACCCTGTTTTTAATGTTCTTGTTTTAGTCAAATAAAATTAGTTTTATAAAACCACTAACCCGTCGTAAACCATTTAAAATATTCGCGCCTAAATTTGAAACTCCTTCTGCGAACGCTAATCAATTTGGCGAACGTTACGTGCTATGCCTTGTTTTTAAAAAAAAATGAATTAACGAATCACAAATGAAACTAACATTCCCAGCACGATAGTCTGTTCATCTACTAAAATTTAAACAGAGGTAAAACAATGGAACTAGTACGAACACACGTTCAAGCTAGCAGTTTAAAAAAAAAACTATTACCAGTTTGAAACATCGACATACCATCATCAAGCATCGTTCTGCTTGCCTCCATGTTCTCACATAAATTATATACGTCAGCGTTCAGCCATCGATTGAGCTAGGCCTAGCCGAACTAGCTAAACTAGAATTGCGGCGTGCAGGTTCCTTTCCCCCTCCTCCCTTTCCCCCCTTGCACGCCAACCGCCATTGGAAAAAAAATTGAATAACCTCTCGAATAGTGATCATAAGATACTCACCTATTTAGCAGAATAGCGGCAAACGTATCGCGCGAATTACCAGTCATGTCGACTGGATAGGTTTTAAATTAGCATATCAATGCAGAGATAAACGTCTGCTAGTTGGAGTTCAGCCAAGTTTTTTTTTTTTTCGCGTTACAAATTTAAAAAAAAAAATACTTTATTACAAGAATGTTAGAAGATTAGTTCAAGTTTTTTTTAAAAGTCTAACTTTTCGTAGCCGGCAGAGGGCGGACGATAGACCAGTGTTTGTTTTGTACAATTCTAACACACGCCGCGCCCAAAATGGCGAAAAGAAGGCGATTCACTCGCCTGTCTAGGTCAGCCTGACATAGACACTGACGTAGGCACCTGCCTCATTTGCATGTGGGAAATCGGAGGGTCGACCCACAATGGCGTCGTGACCTCTAGCCGAATGGGCGGAGTTACGCCGCGAGAGGGCTGGTGGGTCCCGCTCGCTGGTTGGTCGATATCATTATATCTTACGTGGCTTTCGTCATCTGTGTTAGCCACCGTATTATCATTCTTTTATTTTTGAATGGCGGGCATGGGAGAAACGGGCGAGGAAAGACTCAACATAAAAACCGTTAAAAATAGATTAAAAAAAAAAAACACAACACTGCAGCGGCCGAAGCGTCTGGCGGTGTGTTCAGCATGTGTCATCGTCTGGACCGGCCAGACGTCACTCTCACGTAATGTGTTTCGGGTGTGTAGCTTAACCATTATAGCAGAAAATCCTTGACACGTGACATATAAAAATATTTTTTTTTTATTTTTTACAAAATTACGATTCATGCTTGCAAATAAAAACCTCCTACCTAGATGCCGTGATGTTGTATAACTTCCTCATTATTGTATTTCACTGGATTAATTTTAAAACTTAGTTTTTTTAGTGAACAATTTAAAAAAATAAAACTTGTACCACAACACCACCGGTACGTAGATCCAAGGCCGCGAGCCCGCGCGCCTCGCCAACTCGCTCGTGCTATGTGGTGTCGCACACAACTCGCTCGCTGATATTTTCCTCATTATTCCCCAGAACATTTTTTTATATATAGATCTATATAGGGCCTAAAGCTCAACTCGGCTCATGAAAGTTTTCGAAATGTCTGAACACGCCCGTGTACCCAAATAGTTTGGCCAATCACAGAGTCTGTTACACATACGAAAATCTTGAACAAAATATACGATTTTAACCTCCTCTTGTAATCAACTTTAAATAATTAAAAAAAACGTTAACACACTTGAAATCCTATCAATAAAATTAACTCATGAGTGTGTAAGTTCTATTCATTCATACGTCTGTATTGTTATTGTAAAGTAGAGTTGTCCCAAGCCTTAGCAAAAAAAAAAAAAAAAAAAAAATTCAGGATTGTGCAAATATAGGTATACAATACGAAGGGGAAGGGGGGTGTTGGTTTAAAATGTTTTTATATTATCTAGTTATAGATGTCTATATTGTAAAGCGGTGGTCAAGAAACATGTTATTTAATGCTTTAGCTGATATTTATCCGGTTTTATTTTCTCTCGAGGTTTTCGGTACTCTACTGTCTTATTTATCGGGGCCTTGCTAGAACAGTTCGTGTGGTTATTTTTTAAAAAAAAGACAACATCAGCACTAACACAAGTAAGGCAAGCTGCAGGCAAGGGCTTGGCTTGTGACTGTCTGTCATGAGGGGGTGGATTTAGTATATTAGATGGGGGGGGGGGGTGACTAATGGACATTTTATATAGCATTATATGAGTACAAATTGCCTGTTTTTGTCATTAAAAATCTGTGTACGATCCCGAAAATTAAAAAAAAAAAAAAAAACGCAGACTAGGCTAAAATAAAAAGAGCTATGAGAGTAAGATCGTCCATGGTATCGATAACCCTACCTCTGATGGGACTCATAGACCTAACCCTGTCACTACTTCACTACTTGGTTCCAATTCTAACCTTAATAGTGATAACAGCAGGGGAAAATACTTCGATACGATTATAATACAATGTTGCATCGTCCATCAGTGTGTTAACAGTATATGTCTGTGGCGTTGTACCGTTGTAACAGAATGGCTGACCAAGCCGTATAGCGAGTAAATACTGGAATTTTTAAAGCCCAACATACTTCAAATAATGGACTAAATTTATGACCAAGCCGTATATTGGTTAAATACTGGAATTCTTGCAGGCTAGAAGACTTTTTAAATAGTGGAACATTTAATAAGTGTCAGACTGTTAGTTTGTGAGTTTTATATGTAGGCCTACATTGTGCTTACAGTACAATAATAAGTAAGAAATAGTATTTCAGTAGGTCTTTAGATAACAAAATATCAGTAGGTCTCTTGATATATCGGTATACCTCAGTCGGCCTTTAGATAGCACATATAACTATAACAGTAGACCACTAGGTATGACTCTATAAGTAGACCTCTAGATATACCCATATCAGTAGGTGCCTAGATATATCAGTAGGCCTCTTTATATATCAGTAGACATGTGGGTATAACTATATCAGTAGACCACTAGATTTAGTAACCATATGAGAAAACCTCTGGATATAACTATATCAGTAGGTATCCAGATATATCTATATCAGTAAGCTTCTAGATGTAACTGTATAAGTAGGCCTCTAAAAATATGAGTAGACGTCTAGATAGAATAATACCTTCAGACCTATAGATAGAACAATAACACTAAGCGCCTAGATAGAACAATACCCTTGAGCCTTTATATAACACTCTATCATTAGACAATAATATTAGGTCTCTAGCAAGCTTCTATTACGCACAATAACCATAGACCTCTACAATAATATAGGGACTCTAGCGAGCCTATGTTATGCAGAATACCCATAGACCTCTGTATAGCGTATATCTAAGCTTCTAGATAACACGATATATTTAGGCCACTAGATAGCACAATATACTTTCTCTCTGGTTAGCGTATTTTCCTAAGGCCTCTGTGTAGCAGATCCTTAAGCCTCTCGGTAGCACGAAATAATTAGGCTTATAAAGGTAACAATATATTCAGGCCTCTGGATAGCAAAAATTTAAGCCGCTGGATAGCAATTATTTATCCATCTAGATAGCACAATATACGTAGGCATAATATCTTTGTTTTAATTTTTTATATACATGGGTCTTTTTATCTAGACTTGGTATTTTGTTGTTTACAATTACATAGGTCTTTTAATGTACACTAACATAGGTATTTTAAATAATAAATTACATTCTTTTTATCTAAACTTACATAGATCATATTTATCTAAACTTACATACGTCTCATTTATCTAAACTTACATAGATCATATTTATGTAATCTTACATACGTCTCATTTATCTAAACTTACATACGTCTCATTTATCTTAAGTTACATAGATCATATTTATGAAAACTTAAATAGGTCTAATTTACCTAAACTTACATAGATCTTATTTATCTAAACTTACATAGATCTTATTTATCTAAACTTACATAGGTCTTATTTATCTAAACTTACATAGATCTTATTTATCTAAACTTACATAGGTCTTATTTATCTAAACTTACATAGGTCTTATTTATCTAAACTTAGATTGTTAAATGATAATTGGTCTTTTTGTTTTTAAATTATTTTGGACATCCGTAAGACGTTTACATAAATGTTCATGTTCACTAGCTTTAGACTCACTAACATAAAATAAATTCAGTCGTTTCTCAATGTTTCTACTACCAATTATAAGACAATATTAATTTGAAATACGTTTTTATCCTTTGTAGTTATCTTTATCCGTCGTCCTCAATATTAGAGATCCTAACCTAAGTCCTAGACAATATACCGAATCTTAGAATAAATATAACCATTAAAACAAAACAAAAATACTACAAAGTAAATAAAACATATAACTAAACCTAGCCGTTTAAACTTACTATATGGTTAGGTCTTAACCTCATCGTTAAACTATAACCTATTGTACACATCTAAATTCTAGTATAATCCTAAACATGTTGCCACAAAATTGAAATCCACTAAAATTAAAACGTGACTACCCCCCCCCCCCCTCTTAACTTATTAGTAAAATCGTTTGAAAAACTTGTGCACATATCACAATAGTCCCATAAAAGATTAGATATATAAACATATTAAATTCTGCTGTATGTAGGTGTGAGTAGATGCATTGAGCCGCTATTGTGGTATGTAGGATCATCAATATGTGCATTAGTCTCAGACAAGTTCATATTCGTCTAAAGACTCAGCATATAGACATGACCAGTGACGTAGCCAGGATCTTCTCATGGGGGGATGTTATAACCTCCCTAACCCTCCCCTCCCCCCGCCTACGCCACTGGACATTACTGGCTGGCAGTTAACATCTAGGATGATGAACTAGCATTTTCTAATTATCACCAACTAGATGTCTTAGATAATGAACTAATTTTCTTTGTCTTTTTATTCTTACTTTTATCAACAAATGGTCTAAGACGACATACTAACATTTTCTCACTATGGTCTTACAAGAAAATACAACATTTTCTTACTATGGTCTTACAAGACCCACAAACATTCTATGACTTGCATCAACTAGTGGTCTTACAAGAAAAGCCAACATTTTCTAACCATGGTCAACTAGTGGTCTTACAAGAAAATCCAACATTTTCTTACTATGGTCAACTAGTGTTCTTATCTGACAAACATTTCCTTACTATTATCAACAACTTAAGTTGTCTATCCTTGGCGAGGAATGACTTAAACGCATTAGGGTGTCAATGAATATATTACAATATATAACAATACCAAACATGAAAATGTTATTAAAATATTCTTAAATATTATGTTCAATTCACTTTTACTATGAGCTCCATTTCATTCCCAAGTTAAATTCTAAATTACGAAAAAAAAACAACCGATAAATACAAAATTAAAAAAAAAATATTTTAAAAACTTGACTTGTGATAATATATAAACGCTCAGGTTTTATTATTGCACTAAAAATTTAAAAAAAATAATAAAGTCTTTTTTTAAAAGTAGGCACCTAGTTGTATAACTCTATCGAAAAGTGTATTGGGTAAACATATTTTGGTAGGACTATGTTTAAATACAGCTTGGTCTAAAAATACCAATTTATAAATATAGCTAGGACTAGAAATACCAATTTATAAATATAGCTAGGTCTAAACTTGCCAATTTATAAATATGGGTAGGTATAAAAATACCAATTTATAAATATAGCTAGGTCTAAAAATACCAATTTATAAATATAGCTAGGTCTCAAAATGCCAACTTATAAATATAGATAGGTCTAGAAATACCATTTTATAAATATAGCTAGGTCTACAAACGATTACATGTAA